GGACTAATACAGAGAATTGGTACCAGGATAGTGGGGTACTACTATAAAGACAACCTGAAAATGCAGAAGCGACTTTGAAACTGGGTCATGGACAGAGGTTGGAACAATTTGGAGGGCTCAGAAGAAGACAGAAAGATGTGGGAAAGCTTGGAACATCCTAGAGACTTATTGAATGATTTTGACCAAAAATGCTGATAGTGGTATGGACAATGAAGTCCAGGCTGACATGGGCTCAGATGGAGATGAGGAACTTATTGAGAACTGGAGTAAAGGTCACCCATGCTATGCTTTACCAAAGATACTGGGCATTTTGCACCTGCCCTAGAGATCTGTGGAACTTTGAACTTAAGAGAGATGATTTAGGGTATCTGGCAGAAGAAATTTCTAAGCAGCAAAGCATTCAAGAAGTGACCTGGGTGCTCCTAACAGCATATAGCCATATGCATTCACAAGGAGATGGTTCAAAATTGGGACTTATGCTTAAAGGAAAAGCACAGCATAAAAGTTTGAAAAATTTGCAGACTGACCATGTGGTAGAAAAGAAAAACCCATTTTCTGGGGAGAAATTCAAGCAAGCTGAGAAATTTGCATAAATAACAAGGTATCAAATGTTAGTAGCCAAGAAAATGGGGGAAATGTCTCTGACCCCCTTCAATCACAGGCCTGGAGGCCTAGGAGAAAAAAATGTTTTTGTGGGCTGGGGCCCAGGGCCCCCTCCCTTCCCACTCTGCTGCTCTGTGTAGCCTCAGGACATACTGCCCTGCATCCCAGATGCTCCAGCTCCAGTGTGGCTAAAAGGAGCCAATGTTCAGCTTGGGCATTTGCTGCAGAGGATGCAAGCCCCAAGCCTTGGTGACTTCCATATGGTACTGGGCCTGGAGGTGTGCAGAAGATAAGAATTAAGCTTTGGGAACCTCCTCCCAGATTTCAGAGGATGTATGGAAATGCATGGATGTCCAGATAAAGTCTGCTGTGCAGGTGGAGACCTCACAGAAAACCTCTACTAGGGTTGTGGGGAAGGGAAATATGGTGTTGGAGCCCCCACACAGAGTCCCCACTGGGTCACTGCCTTGTGGAGCTGTAAGAAGGGGGCCACTGTCCTCCAGATTCCAGAATGGTAGATCTGCTGAGAGCTTGCACCCTGCCCCTGGAAAAGCTGCAGGCACTCAACACCAGCCTGTGAAAGCAGCTGCAGGGACTGTAACCTGAGAACCACAGAGGAGGAGCCACCCAAGGCCATGGGAGCCCACCCCCTGGATTAGTGTGCCTTGGATGTAAGACATGGAGTCAAAGGAGATTTTGGAGTTTTAAGATTTAACAACTGCCTGGCTGGGTTTTGGACTTGCATAGAGCCTGTGGCCCCTTTGTTTTAGTCAATTTCTCCCATTTGGAATGTGAACATTTACCCAGTACCTCTACCCACACTGTATTTTAGAAGTAACTAACTTGTTTTTGATTTTACAGACTCATAGGTGGAAGGGACTTGCCTTGTTGCAGATGAGACTTTGGACTTGGACTTTTGAGTTAATGCTAGAATGAATTAAGACTATGGGTGACTGCTGGGGATGTATGATTGGTTTCGAAATGTGAGGACCAGGGGTGTAATGATATGGTTTGGCTGTGTCTCCACCCAAATCTCATCTCAAATTGTAATTCCCACATGTCAAGGGAGGGACCTGGTGGGAAGTGACTGGATCATGGGGTGGTTTCCTTCATGCTGTTCTTGTGATGGTGAGTGAGTTCTTAAGAGATCTGATTGTTTGACAAGTGTCTGATGCTTCCCCTGTGTTTTCTCTCTCTGGACACCATGTAAGGCATGCCCTGCTTTCCCTTTACCTTCTGCCATGACTAAGTTCCTGAGGTCAATTAAACCTCTTTCTTTATAAATTACTCAGTCTCAGGTACTCTTTTACAGCAGTGTGAAAATGTACTAATACAGACACCCTGAGACTACATAAAGAGAGATGCCTTACTAGTTCCTACCTGCTTCAGTCCTAGCCAACACTGCCTGAAATAACATGTCAGACCCCAAGTCAGAACTGTCCAACTAATTCCTTCCTGAATTCTCACAGAAACTGTGAGAATAAAGAAAAAAATTGTTGCTATTCCAAGTCACTAAGATTTCAGGCAATATGTTATGCATCAATAGGTAACTGGAGTCCTTATTTCATGAAGAACTACGAAAAGTAATCTCACTTTTCTATGTATTAAAGTGGAAAATAAAGAGAACTAAAGTAACATTTTATATACAATTTGGGTAATATATTTGATTACTATATACGTTATTGGTAACTTGGGAATATTATTCACAGCATCCTCATTTTAGTAGAGCATGTCTGAAATTGCTGACATCATGTAAATTTAAGATCCTATTTATACAGCTTAATGAGGCCTTTATGTGTGGATTTTTAAAAAAATTTTTCTGAGACATGGTCTCACTCTGTGATCCAGGCTGCAGTACAATGGCACAACCACTGCTCAGTGTAGTCTCAACCTCCTGGGCACAATCCTCCCACCTCAGCCTCCTGAGTAGCTGGGACTACAGGTACTCACTACCAAGCCCAGCTAATTTTTCTATTTTTTATTTTTGTAGAGATGGGTTTTTGCCATGTTGCCCAAGCTGGTCTTGAACTCCTGAGTTCAAGAAATCTGCCTGCATTGTCCTTTCAAAGTGCTGGAGTTACAGGCATGAGCCACCACACCCACCCATCAATGAAGTCTTTATATACTACATCATGGCTATCCTATTTAATTTACAGTATTATAGAGAAAATAAATAAAATAGTCAGGAGCGATGGCTCACGCCTGTAATCCCAACACTTTGGGAGGCTGAGGCAGCCAAATTACCTGAGGTCAGGAGTTCGAGACCAGCCTGGCCAACACGGTGAAACCCCACCTATATTAAAAATACAAAAATTAGCCAGGCAGGGTGGCACGTGCCTGTAATCCCAGCTACTTGGGGGACTGAGGAAGGAGAATCGCTTGAACCTGGGAGGTGGGGGTTGCAGTGAGCCAAGATTGCACCATTGTACTCCAGCCTGGGTGACAATAATAAATAAATAAATAAACAAATAAACAAACAAATAAATAAAATACTTGGATATCTGATTTTTTCCTTTAGATACAAATGGGATAAGTTTTATCATTTATTAAAGTGTTTAACTCTAGCAGAGAACACTGGTAATTCTAGGTTTTAAAAAAATTGCCTAAATAAACAAAACTATTTGTCATGAAAGAGGTCTGAAGGTAGGTAAATTCACTTGGTGAGCTTCAATGCAAAAACAAACACAAAAGTTATTTTTTATCATCCTGATGTAGAGTTAACAAATGTAGAGGACCCTAAAAATGTTCACACAATAATCCATATGTATGAGAGTTTTCACTCCATTGAAAAGATGAAAAGTTATAGAACCAAATCTGAAATTACCTTAAATTGTTAAAACAAAGCTCTGAAATGAACCACCTCAAATAAAGACACAAATCTGATGAATGCATTGGTGTCTATTAGGTCACTACAGTGTGCCAGTCTACTCTAGAGGCAGCTATTTGTTCCCAAGTTTAGTGGAATCAATCCCAAAACTATACAAAATTTATTATCATTATTATTATTATTTTGAGACAGAGTCTTGCTCTGTCCCGGCTCACTCCACCTCCTGGGTTCATGTGATTCTCCTGCCTCAGTCTCCCAAGTAGCTGCGATTACAGGTGCTTGCCACCATGTCTGGTTGATTTTTGTATTTTTAGCAGAGATGGAGTTTCACCATGTTGGCCAGTTGGTCTCGAATATATGAAATTTAAAAGTACTCTACGACAAAGAAATCTAAAATGACAAATCTTTCATATTTTGGTAAAATTCATAAGAATCACAGAATGTGAAATAATAACAAATACATTATTCCAAATGCAAACTAAGAAATCATGATGAAAACAGGATTAATCAAAAGGAAATCAGAATTCTAGAAAAATCCCAAATTACATAAAAAAAAATAGACCAAGAAAGAAAAGTAATTTGGGGATGAAATAAAATGAGGAGACTAAACAGGCCATGATTCAAATCACATGGAATAACTGTGGTCAAAAGGAGCAAAAAGATCTATTTAACTAATAAAGAAAAATCATAAAATTATTTTCACCATAAAATTTATAGTATTAAATGTGAACTATTATGAATTATATGATTATCAATTATAGGATGAAAAATGCTTGTCTGATACAAGAAAATAAACAGGATATACATCTTACATGTCTAAATCTTGATTATATATTCTATAATGAGTTACAAAATAAAAAGCTAATTTAAAATATTATATTTCAACTCTTTTCATGGTCTGCTAAAAAGGAAAAAAAACTGGGATTCTGCAGAAAGAAACATGCAAAAGTAAACCAAAAATGCCTATAATTTTAAAACATGGGGCTTTTTCCAAACAAATCGCTGAAGTGTCATAAAAATAAAAATTGAAAGCAAAGACACGATGAAACTGCTGGGACATACATCAACGTTGGTGATGAAAAGAACAAAAACACTTGGACAGGCCCAGCTAGAACATCTATTATCCATAATTTCCACAAGTCTTGAAAAATGTAAGGATGACAGACAGGAATGACGCTGGCATATCTCATCAACAGTATGTCATCAATATTATGGTTTCAAAACTACAAGGTACTTATAGATAAAAAACTTGATTCCATTTGCTTCTAATTGATTTGGTCTAAGATAACCCTTACATGTAACCATCAAGTTCATAATGTTGTTAAAAAGCCTTAACTTTACAGACGTTCACTTTTCTATGTTTGGTTTTTAATTTTAAGTGAATGGAATTAGCACCACATAGCCTCAGTGATATAATTAACATGATGTAATACTATATGATGCCCATTATGGTATTGTAATCATTGGAAACAAAATCTAAGAAAATCCAGTCAGTATGTTTTATTGATGGTTGAAAATTCTTTTTGTTGTAGAGTTTCCCCCTTTTAAAGGGATTTATAACAGAACTTACCTGCAAACGAACAATTCTCTCAAATATATCTCCTCTCATGCTCATCTCAATATCAAAACGAGAAAGTCTTTTGTCTGCTTCTGTACTTGCTGCTCGTACATCTTTGTCAGAGGATACATGCTGGGGAAAGTCCAGCATGGTCCTTTCCACTGTGGATGGAGGAAAAAAACGATTACCACAATAGGACTTGTCAAATCAGTATTAAGCCAAATACCTCATACACAGATGATCATGCCAATAAAAGTTTTTTTTTTTAAATTTTATACTTTCTATAAAGGCTCCTAAGGCTACCAAGAAAAAGCATCTAATGCAGGACTTAGCAGTTCTAGTTGGCATCATTATGAACAGTAAGGATGTGAGACGAGCACCTATCATTAGGGTAAAATTTTTTTTTTGAGACAGAGTCTCGCTTTGTCACCCAGGCTGAAGTGCAGTGGTGCAATCACAGCTCACTACAGCCTCAACCTCCCAGGCTCAAGCAATCCTTCGCCTGAATCCCGCCCCCTGTTCCCCAACACGACTGAGTATCAGGGACCACAGGCGTGCACCATCACATTCAGCTAATTTTTGTATTTATTGAGATGGGGTCTTGTAATATTTCCCAGGCTGGTCTCCAACTCCTAGGCTAAAGTGATCCTCCCTCCTCAGCCTTCCAAAGTGTTAGGATTACAGGTGTGAGCCAGTGCACCTGGGCAGAGAGTGTAATTTATCAACTGGGAATGAGGGAAGATAAAGACACAATTCCTTTACTGAGGTATCTTAGGATCTGGGATTTGGAAAGGGTACATAAAATGATAAAGACTACCCAGAAAATTGAATCAAAGCAATGGCCCCTATCGCAAATGCACCCATGAATAAAAACATTCAAAATTCCAGATAATTTCAAAGGAGTCACAGAAACCTAAGTGGACACATCCAATGAGTAGCTAGACATTGGAGACATTCCTGTGAAATAATGATGGTAATTTAGTTTGGTTTAATCTTCAAATATTACAATTGGTTCTTGGATTTCTCATAAATTTGCATTTTAACTTTAATTGGGCAAAAATCTCTGATGTCTGTGAAATGACCAATACTACAGAACAAAAATAAGTATGGTTTATAGTGATGGTTGTGGTCATGCTGGGAAAGTAAGTACATTTTTATTTGATTAACTTTAGTACTGTAAAGGTATTATAAATAGTAAAACTTACATATGATATATAGTAGACAGTAGAGCTATCCTTTATACAGCAAGAAATTATACAGTTAAACAACTGCCTCACTCATATCAGTCCTCTTAAAATATTGCTACAAATAAAGCTATTAGAAATATCTGCCACAGATATCAGAATAAATCCATAAGGTATATTTTTGAAAGATCAAATTATGAAATTACGCTTTTAGGGTTTAATATATAATTTTATGTCTGTCAGTTAAGGAAAGAAAGGAACAGAAAATTTTGAAAGTTAATACATATAACACTTATTTAAGTGATATTGGTTAACTACATGGTTACAATATATTTACTTTCAGAAATTAGCTATAAAACGGTGGCTCATGCCTGTAATCCCAGCGCTTTGGGAGGCCAAAGTGGGTGGATCACCTGAGGGCAGGAGTTTGAGACCAGCCTGGGCACTGCACTCCAGCCTGGGCAACAAGAGTGAAACTCTGTCTCAAAAAAAAAAAAGCTATAAAAGATATTAAGAAGGAATCAAAATTGCTCAAAAACTTATATAAGCAATATCAAATGCAGGAGCCTACAATTAGAAACAAATTCTTAAACAAATGAAGACGGTGAAAACCATTTCTTTCCTTACTTTGCCACAAAGACCTGGAACCAGATTTATGCTCTCACTGCCAAACGATAGACAATGCTGATGCCCAGTGCCTGACATTAGACAACCAGTGTTCCACCAGCTACTGCAAGAAGCACAGTTGACTAGGAGAATATGCTCAGATAAGAGAAAGTTAGTTTTTAAGAAATCTATTCCCAAACTCAAAAATTTAGATAATCCATAAAAATAAATTTATAGAAGAATAATAACAAATATCACAAACCTGAAAGTATGCTGAAAAGATCTATTATTGAGAGAAAAACAATTTAAAATAATTATTTAAAAAAGATGTTGTTTGACACAGCCATAGTGGCAGATCACATCTGTAATCCCAGTGCTTCCGGAGGCCAAGACAGTGAGGAAATGTGTTCTCTTTCCGGGTCCACAGGGGGGCGTAGTTTTAAGGGCAAAAATTTCTTAGCGCCATGCCCTTCTCCCATCTCTCTCCATCCAGGAGATTTAACGGTTTACGTTTCAATTTCACGGACACGGGAAGAAACTAAGAGTCAATCACTCTAGCGGAAATTCTAAGGAACTCCTTTCGTTGGCCTGGGGTCGTAGAGAAGGTAGGGGTTCCTCTCAGGTTAAAAGTACCCTTCTTCCACACCCCTTCAGACTCCATGCTTGGGTCCCCTTCCATGAATACTCCCTTTGTGGAAGCCATTTTTCTTTCTCTCTCCTGGATTTTCCCTCTGGAGTCCCCTTCTACACTCTAGTGGAAGCCTGTCTTCTCCTCCTAAACTCCATCTCTCTCTCTCTATTCCCTAACACTCTCCCGTGGAAGCTGCTTTCTGCTCCTGGATTCCATCTTTCTGGATTCTCACACTCAATGTGAGATTTAGCTGTTTCTTTCTCTCTCCTCCTGTTTCTCTCACTTTAAATAAATCACTTTCTACAAACACTTTTGAGTCCAGCTTTTACTGCGCACTGTGCTGTGGACCCCTCTCTCATTCTTGAGAGGGCAGGAGACCAAGAACCTGGAGAAATGTCCTCTCAGGGGAGCTGAGGACACTATGAACCCCAATATTACAGCAGTAGGATCACTTGAGACAAGGAATGGGCAACATATGTGAGACCAGTCTGGGTAACATAGTGATACCTCAACTCCACACAAAATTTAAAAATTAGCTGGGCATAGTGGCACATGCCAGAAGTCCCAGCTACTCAGGAAGTTGAGGCAGGAGGATCTCTTGAGCCCTAGAGTTGGAGGCTGAAGTGAGCTAGGATTGTGCCACAGCACTACAATCTGGGTAACAAAGTGAGACCTTTCTCAAATCCCTAAGTTATGGGTTGGCACACCATCTTGGCCACAAGTGACTGAAGAACTGAGCACCTGAACCAAGGACAAACCATATCCAGGATGGTACGTGCACATGACGTCGCCAGCTGGAAAAGCTCTGCTGAACAGGGACCAACTCTACCCCTTTGACTAATGAGGACAACCAGATCCTTTTATTCAGGAGTTTAAATTCAAGACATGTAATAAGATTTAGTAGCCATTTATGAAAGTGAAGAAGTTGGTAGTAGGAGCAGAAACGAAAACAAATGCTGAGATAAGAGAAAATAGCCAAGTCTTTTGTACAGTGAAACAGAGTAGAGAACTCTTGGAGAAGAAGGGATAGTGGGGGCAAGGAGAAGACCAGGTCACTAGGGTTATGCTGGATTCTGACAATCTTTCAAATTCCAAAATGCACAAAAATGTCTATGATATCCAGTTCTGCAGCTATCTTATATTCTCTTATGAAGCCTGTATATACAGCCAAGGTTGTTTGTCATAATTATTCTACAAAATATGTCCAACCCTTAGAAATATAAAAATAATGTATATCAGGGCAAAAAATACAGAAAATAGAGAAATACATAAAGAAGAAGGTAAAAATTAGCTATAAACCCATCACCTGATATATTAAACATTCTGATGATTCATCTTATGTGTTAACTTGGAGGGTGTTTTTGATGACATTAAAATTAGAGTGGCAAGCTTGAAGTAAAGAAGACTGCCCTCTACATTGTGGTGGCCCACATGTAATCAGTTCAAGGCCTGAACAGAACTAAGACTGACCTCCCTGAATAAGGGAGTTTTGCAGACTGCCTTCATACGTCTGCACTATTGGCTCCTCTGGACCTCCAAACTAGAGCTGGGATATCAGCTCTCCTGGGTCTCAAGCCTGCCAGCCCACACTGAGATTCTGGACTTTTCAGCTTCCTTAATCATGTAAGCCAATTCCCTATAATCTATCCATCAATCAGTCTCTCTCCCCACAAACATATATATTTACATATATATACTTCCACACACACACACACACACACACACACACATACACACACACACACATCCTATAGGTTCAATTTCTCTGGAGAATCCTAAGATAACCATTGATAAAATATGTTTATTTTCTTCCAGTTATTCTGTGTCCTTTTCCCCATGTTATTAAATAACTGCTTGTAAACCATGATTTTAATGGTTATACAGCATTACGGAAGATGGATGTTTCATAATTTATTTATCTAATCTATTGGTTGACATTTGGGAATTGTTTCTAAGCTTATGATATGATAAGAATACCTATTTATACATAAATTGATACATTAATTTTGCCTATATATTATATTTTTAGAATAAATGTCTAAATTGATACATGAATTTTGTCTACATATGATTATTTTCTTAGCATAAATGTCTAGGTGTGGGATTAATGGGCAAGTGTATGAATGTCTTAAAAGTTCTGACATATTGTCAAAATGCTCTCCAGAAAGCACCTTTGTGTACTTTCTGGAGTAATGACAGTGTATATTTTATAGCACCTTTGCCAACATAATACAATTAAAAAATCTGTAATTAATTACTATGTAAAAATCAATGCTTGTAAAACTGGAAAACTGAAAGAGAGAAAGCGTGAAATGATTTAACATGTCCACAAAGTGAAATACTAATGTGCTTCTGCATCCAACCCACCTATATACTTCACTTCTACATCTGCCAGTGCCTGCAGACAGTTCTCATAAGTTACTTCCTCAATATTGAGCATTCCAACAGCATCATACACCTGTTTGGTCTGCACAATGAGCTCCTCAGTTCTTGTTTTAATTTGCTCTGGTGAAAGATCCCATCTTAAAACATTTCTGCCAGCCGCAGTATAGGAAGACATTGCCTGAAGAGGAGACATCACTTCTCTTCCTAATGTCATTCCGAATAAAATCCTGGAACCACCAACTCTAAAAAAGAATCAGAAAAAAAATAAGAATTAGGGATTTCTGTTGGTTCAAAGTCAACATATGAATGTGCATTATAAAATTAAATTTTAAATTAAAAAAGAACGTTTTTAAAAAAACAAGCAAATCCTCTCAGGTAAACACATATGCACAAATCTAAGTGCCCTTGTATTTTCTATTTTCCTTGCATAACTGCATAGTTTTAATGAAATTTGTATAATTCAAATACTGAACTGTTTATGTAATTAAATAATATAGAAAAATAAAGTCAGGTGTTGGAGATATAATAATTCTTTAATAAATTAAATCAGTAATCTTCCCTGCCCTCTTTTGAGACAGGGTCTCACTCTGTTGCCCAGGCTAGAGTGCAGTGATGCAGTCATAGCTCACTGCAGCCTCAACCTCCTGAGCTCAACTGATCCTTCCACCCCAAACTCCCAAGTAGCTGAAACTACACGGACACACCACTATACCCAGCTAATTAAAAAAAATTATTTGTAGAGATGAGGTTTCCCTGTATTACCCAGACTGGTCTTAAACTTCTGAGCTCTAGCAATCCTCCTGCCTTGGCCTCACAAAGTACTGGGATTATAGATGTGAGCCATTGCACCCACCAGTAATCTTTTTTATTTTAATATTTTTCCAGTGCTAACTACCACCTACTATGTACAAAGATTCAAAAAAACTTTTCAAGGTTAGCAAGAAAACATTTAAAAACTTACTTTCATGTAACTAGATACAGTACATGCTTGGTATTAAAATTGGTATACTGGACACCAATTTTTTAAACCAAAATGTCACGTAAATTAAGAATGACAATTTGAGTTTAAGACTTAGAAAATAAACTCTGGTATAGCTATGGCATTATCCTAAAAAAAAAGAAAAAAGAAAAAAGAAATTATTAAGAATAATGATAACAGTCTTTATTCCCTTAAAACCTTCAAGCTAGTAATACTGATGCCGTATGTTTCTCTCTATCAATCCATATACATACATATATATATATATATATATATACACATATATATATGTATAATTTTAGGACTTATAAATAAAATGTTATATTTAATAGCTAACATTTATTGTGTGTTTAGGAATGGTTCAAAATATTGTTCATGCAGTAACTCACTCAGTCCTTTAGCCACCCTCTGAGTTATATACTGAGGTTAGTCTTATTTTACTGAAGAGCAAACTAAAACACAGAGAAGTAACTTGCTTAAAGCCACGCAGCTAGTTGTAGGGTCACAGATAGGATTAAGAGCCAGGCAGTACTGATCCAGAACCCATACTCTTAGCCGCTATGATAAGCTTCATTTCTATTATCTTACAGGACCCCAAAACAACCTTATAAGGTAGGTAGGGCATTACTGTATTCCCTTCTAATGAAGCAATTAAAGCCTCAGAGAGGCTAAGGGACTTGTTTAAGGTCATTCACCCAGCTAATATTTATGAGCATGTCCTGTATCTAGTTCTGTGATAGGCAATGGGGATAAATGGCAAATTGTCTCGGATGCTGACATTCTAATATAGTAGAAAGGACAAATGGATGAACAGGCAATTATACTACACTGAAATGAGTGCTACGACAAGGGTAAGCAGAGAGAACTCTGAAAGACCAAAGAAGGGAACCTCATTCTTGGAGCAGGGGGAATGTGTGTCAAGAAAGGTTTTCTAGAAAGAGCAACTAGCAAACCAACATTTGAACAAGGTGTAAGAAGGGGAGAGAAGGCTGAAAAGGTAAGTAGGGACTAGCAAATCAAGAGCCTTGGGAATCATCAGGTAATCCAACCTTGGCTGGGCACCATGGCTCATGCCTATAATCCCAATATCTTGAGATGCTGAGGTGGGCTTAAGGCCCAGTGTTTGAGACCAGCCTGGGAAAAAGAGTGAAACACTGTCTCTACAAAACATTAAAACAATGACAACAAGAAAAATGTCCCTCAAACATCCAATCTTATTCTGAAGGCAGTTTCAGAGTCACTGAAGGGTTTTAATCAGGTGAGAGATAGAAGTTTTGTGTTTTAGAGAAATTACTCAAATTATAATGAGTTGAAAGGTTTGTAAAAGAGATCATTCAAGAGAGAAGTTGTTCTTGGGGCTGTAATTGGGGCTCATGATTAAAGTATACAAAGTTAGGAAACGAAATCGGAATAATTTAAAAGATATTCAGGAGTTACACTCCATAGGACTTGGTACTGAATGGATGGAGGGGGTGGAAGTGAGAGAGTCAAGAGAGTCAAGGGAAAGGAGGCTTTCCGGGGAAAAAAAGAGAAACTCAATTTTGGACAAGCCAAGTTTGAAGTGGCTACAGTACATGCAAGAGGAAGTCATTAATATTAAGTGGTTATTGTACTTACACAGGTACCCAAGGGAGTTTGCAGAGTGAGAAGTGAAAAGCATTGAGGTCCTAACTCTAGTATGATCATTGAGGTAGAAGGAACATTAGGCCAAGATGGGTTCTAAGAAGTTGTGATAAGTGAGCTGTGAAAACAGTACCAACTGTACAGATGTTGAGCAAAACTGAAAAGTCTTTGTTAAATATAGCAGCAGAATGCCATTGATAACTAGCAAAAAGAGTGTTACGGGAGCAGCAGGGGTAGAGGTCAGACTACTATGATGGAGAAATAAGAAGGAAATGATGAACTGGAGAGAGTGCACCTAAGCAATTCTCTGGATTTGTCCATGAAAATAAGGAGAGCTAACGCAGTGTAGCTGGAAAGGGCTGAGACACAGAATAGGTACATTTTTTAGATAGGAGAGACCTAAATATTGACCTCCTCAACTTCCTCTCCACAAGAACTCATGTCCACATACTGGTTGATGCTTACAACTCAAGGCTGCCAGGTTATTTTCTAATACATTTTCACATTTCTTCTTCCGCCAGTTGAGTTATATACGAAACAATGGTTAAGCCTGTTATTCTGAAATCTGTTTACGCCTGTTATGCTTATCTTCATGTAATTTAAATATTTGACAGATTAAATGTATATAAAATTTAAAAACTGTTATTCTAGGATAGATAAAAGGTTTTAGAAATACTTCAAAAAAGAGAGTTACAAAAAAAATGAACTCCCACAAAAAACTTGTCCTTATGAAAGACTGGGAAAGGAATTGTGACAATTCAGAAGGCTTCTGAATTCATATTGCTTATATGTTTCTTTATATTCGTGTTCCACTTTCAAGGAACTGAAATTGAAAATCAAAGATGAGGCATTAAAGGTATAGCTTGTACAAGGACAGTAAGGAATGCAAATCAAATCATTTATAGTTAACAAAGGCCTTGGTTTTAGATCAAAAGATTTGGGAATAAATATACATTTATGTTTTAAATTTGCAAAAGATATTTAAGAAATTTATCATAGTTACGATTCTACTTGAAACCATTTTAAAAATTACATTATGAAGATATTTAGAGTGAGATCCCTATAGAGATAGGAAGAAATGTAATATAGAACATGAGCAGAGCAATGTTTTAGACACAGAGAGAAACTATAGCCTCAGTAAAATCAATAAAACAGTAAAATAGGAGTAGTCAGGTTATAGCAAAAATGTGAGATATTTGAATTTAAGACCTCAAGGGTTAAGCAGTTTCTTTGCAAGAGTGTAAGAAAACAAGAGTCTAGTTTGGGTAAATTGCCTATATGAACACTGGAGTCCAGCAGGTTGATGGTGGAGCCTGGGAGTAGAAAGGAAGACTGAAGCAGGAGCCCGAGTATCTGAAGAAGAAACTCTCAGCTGATTGGGAGAGACAACATGAGCAGGATATCAAATGGCAAAACCAGATCATGAACCTCAAAGGTGTTTTTACACACTGGTGAAGAAGTGCTGGACATCACGGCCATGGTGGGTGGAGGTGGCCTCTGAGGGACAAGAAGATACTGGTCTGATCTTTCCTCCTTACTTTGTGGTATGGGGTGTGGGAGGAAGAGGGATGCATGGGAAATATTTTTGTCAGGGTTCAACGGATTTTAGAAGAGGTCAGGAAGACAAGGGAAGATCCAGGGAAGAGTATGAAAAAGTGGAGTTTATTTATCACAGGACAAGGGTTCCAGAAATAACAATGGAGAAGTCAGTGGAGCAGATGGTTAGATACACATTGGTTGTCTAGCCATTCACCTCTTCCCCTGTCTAATTATATGCACATCTTTCTCCCAACACTCAGGCACCCCCAAACCGTTCATGTTCTTTGAAGGTGGCTGCCCCTGCCCTCAGTACTCTTGCTTGGAATGCTGTGAGAGAAGGAGGTGTCATTCCCACTAAGTTTGAGTGCACTTGTGTCCTTGATTGCACCTGGCAGTCATTCTATGAGAAAGAGTAGAATCTGATTTATGATAAAACAGACACTTTGAATGTCAGAATAAAGGAGGAAATTAAGTATTTAAAGATATCATAGAACTCATAGATCAACTAATTCTAAAGCCTGACTGTTCCAGTTACAAGTCAGTAAGTCCTCTCTATGGTGAAGTCTGTTAGAATGGGGTTTTACATTATCCTCATAAAGGATCTTACTGATAAAGGAATAAGTATAGGGAAAAACCAACAGTGTGAAGGTCAGAGTACAAGAAATGGCAGAGGAGTAGAGGATCTCACATATCTGGTGTTGGCACAAAATAATAAAGATTTGAAGGTCAGTTTATATAGTTGGCTGAAAATTTCCAAAGTAACTATTTCTGCCGACAGAGGCCACTAAGAAAGAGTCAGTCATGGCCATGACAGACTGTACTGTCAAGAAAGCCCCAGTACAGGTGAAAAGGCTGGCCCTGAGATGACTGAGTTACATGAATATTAAACAGAAGAACGACTAAAACATAGGATGTATACATCTTAATACCCTGTTCTTTCACCACTCCTTTTAGTATAAACCAATGACTATGGACAAACTTCCATTATTATTCAGGTTTTTTTTTTTTTTTTTTGAGACAGAGTCTCACTCTGTTGCCCAGGCTAGAGTACAGTGGCAGAATCTTGGCTTATTGCAACCTCTGCCTCCTGGGTTAAAGTGA